ACGCCCCCGCCCGACGACGGCATTTACTGGCAAGTCAACATCGACCGGTTCCACCAGCACTTCCGAGACCAGGGAATAGTGAGCGCCGTGGCCAACCGCATGGACCAGGTGCGGGTTTCCGAAGGGCCGCGGCGCCGCCGGCTCTGCTGGAATTCCTGCTCCGGAGGGGCGGAGGCGCGGGCCGGGGGCTCCGGCGGCTCTGACGGCCGCTTCCCGCAGACGAGCAGCGAGATCGTGCGGACGATGCTGCGCATGAGCGAGGTGACCACGTCGTCGAGCGCCCCGCACACGCAGCCGCTCTCCTCCAACGAGGTGAGCGCCGCCGCGCCGGGGCTCCCACCGCCGGCGTTCCCGATGCGTCGTGTTCCCTGCGGGAGCCGCTGGAATTCCCGCTCCCGAGACAGGATGGTTCCTAGAGCGGGATGCCGAGGATGAAGCACTTGCAGGTTCAGGCAACCTGGTGGTTTGGTCATTTTACCACCACTCACATTCCATCTGTTCCCCTTCCCGTAGATATTCCGATCTCTTCCCGCCGGATACAACATCGTGAAGCAGGTTCTGGATCAGTATCTCACGCTGCTGGCAGATGACCCAGTGAGTAACCCGGGATCAGCCCAACGGCCGGGCCCTGCGTCCCGCTGCCGCGGGGAAGAGGCTGTTCCCCCTCCTGCCTCCGGATAAACCTGTCCCGCTCGGCACGAGGTTCCAGTGTCCGGGATTACCCATCCAGTGGGGAGACAGGAGCAGTGCTCCACTCTCTCTCCTAATATTTTAACTACGCTGAAAATGAATCTCATTGTGTTCAAAGTAGCTTCAGGCTGTTAAGATTTTTCTTCAGGAAGAAACTTCAGGATATTCTGCCCCAAATGACCCTTTCCAGTCAGGATTCTCTGCAGATCAGGATTTTGCTAACTCTGCCACGTACTGACCTCGGTTTTTCTGTCCTTAGCTGGAGTTCGTGGGTAAATCTGGGGACAGCGGTGGGGGAATGTACACGGTCAGTATCCTTTGTGCACGAGCTGCCGGGGGCAGCTCCCAGCCTCGGCGCTTCCCAGCGCGTCCCGGGATTCCCAAGGGCTCCCGTTATCCCTTGATGAAGCCTGTGCAGATCTTCACAAGGCTCTTGCGTCCCTGGCAACGGCGACCCTGGAATCCATCGTGGAGGAAAGGTAAAGCGGCGATTGGAAGATCTTAAGAGCCTTCCTGGCCCTTTCTCCTTCCTCTTTTTCCATCCCAATCCACGGATTTCATTCGTTTTCTCTCCCCCTTAGGTTTGGCTCCCGCTGTGCCAGGATATTTCGCTTGCTGCTGCGGAAGAAGCATCTGGAGCAGAAGCAAGTGGAGGACTTTGCCATGATCCCGGCCAAGGAGGCCAAGGACATGCTGTACAAAATGCTCTCCGAGAACCTGGTGTCCCTGCAGGTGAGCGATCCCGCTCCGGCGCCGGCGGAAGCCAGCGGGACGGAGACCTCCCCTTCCCTTTGCCCCCCGCTAGGAGATTCCCAAGACTCCGGACCACGCGCCGTCCCGGACCTTCTACCTCTACACCGTGAACGTCCTGTCCGCGGCGCGGATGCTGCTGCACAGGTGCTACAAGGTACCTTCTCGTGGTGCCCCAGCGCCCTTTTGGGGGTTTTTCTCCCCAAAAAAGCCTTCCCCCAAGGGGAAGGGCATTTCCCGGCGCCCCTCAGCTGGGTGGCAACAAGCTCCTGTGTCCGTGGGTCCCCGCGGTGGCCGGCAGCGCCGCAGG